CTTATTATTCATCTGTCAGTGGACACTTGGGTTGCTTCCACATTTTAGCTACTGTGAATAATGCTGCTATGCACATGGGTGTACAAATATCTGTTTGAAATCCCACTTTCAATTCTTTTGGGTATATACCCAGATGTGGAATTGCTGGATCATATGGTAATTCTACTTTTAAGTTTTTGCAGAACTGCCGTACTGTTTTCCACAGTGGTTGTACCAACACAGCACAAGTGTTCCAGTCGCTCCACATCATGAAACATTCTTCAGTACAGACCACCTGCCAGGGCATAATACAAACTTTAAAAGAGTTAAAAGGACTGAAATCATACAAAGTATGTTCTCTATCCACAATGGAATTAAATTCGACAACAGAAATAAATTTGGTTAACTCAAAAATATGTGGAAATTAAATAACACACTCCTAAATAACTAATGGGTCTAAGAAGAAATTAATTGGAAGACTCAATACTACAAAGATGTCAATTCCCCTTAATTTGATCTAAGGATTAAATGCAATCAATCAAAATTCAAGCAGGATATTTTAGAAATTAAGTCATTCTAAAATTTATGTGACAAATTGATGGGCATTCTACAAAGTACCTGGCATTACTTTTCAAAAGGTCATGAAGACAAAGAAAGGCCAAGAAATTGTCCCAGATTGTCAGAGACCAAGGAGACTACATGCAACTTGGTATCCTAGATTGGACCCTGGAACAGAAAAAGGACATTAGTAGAAAAACTGAGGAGGCCCGGCCCGTGGCTCACTTGGGAGAGTGCGGTGCTGATAACACCAAGGGCCACGGATTCGGATCCCATATAGGGATGGCCGGTTAGCTCACTGGGTGAGCGTGGTGCTGACAACACCAAGTCAAGGGTTAAGATCCCCTTACCGGTCATCTTTAAAAAAAAAAAATAGAAAAAAGGAAAAACTGAGGAAATCTGAATAAAGGCGGTGGTTTAGCTAACTGTATTGTACCAATGCTAATTCTTACATAACCACAGTTATGTAAGATGTTAACATTAGAGGTAGTTAGGTGAAAGATTTTCTATAACTCTCTGTACTATCTTTGCAACTCTTCTGTAAATCTAAAATTATTTCAAAGTAAAAAGTTTTTTAAAATGTGGGAAGAATTACTCTATTGTATATAAAACCTTATTGTAAAGCTTATTGTTAAGACAGTGAGGTACTGGCATGTGGATCAGTGCAAGGACAGCACTGGTGCAGACACAGACCCCTCAAAAACAAACACTTAATTCATACAAAGTGGCTCTGAAGAGCACTGGAGAAAGGGCAAACTTTTCAGTAAATGCCGTTAGATCAATTGGACATCCATATGGAAAAAATGAAACTTACAGTGTACACAAAAATTAATTCAGGGTGGGTTGTAGGTCTAAGTGTAGAAGGTAAAACAATAAAGTATCCACAGTAAAACAGGAAAGTATCTTCCTGTCCTTGGGTAAAGAAAGATTTCTTGGGCTGGCCAGTTACTCAGTTAGTTGGAACACAGTGTTGTTTATACCAAGGTTAGGGGTTCAGATTCCCAGACCAGCCAGCCACCAAAACAAAGGAAAGATTTCTTAAATAGGAACATTAATATTGAAAACTTCCGTTGTTCATACTTGCCATGCATGTCACTGAGAAAAGCTTATATCCAGACTATATAAGAAAATCCTACAAATCAATAAGAAAAAGACAAACAATCCAATTAACAAAAAGAGTAAGAAAATCAGAGAGGAACTCCACAAAAGATGAAATCCAAATAGCCAATAAGCGTAAAAGAAGGTGTTCAATGGCATTAATAATCAGAGAAATGCAAATTAGAACCACACTGAGATATTAATATGCATCTGTGCAAAAAGAGTTCACACAGCAGGTCTGGGACTACCCTCCTTAAGAAGGCTGTTCACTGGCCGAGCCCATGGCGCACTCGGGAGAGTGCGGTGCTGGGAGCCCAGCAGTGCTCCCACCGTGGGTTCGGATCCTATATAGGGATGGCCGGTAGGCTCACTGGCTGAGCGCAGTGCAGCCGGTCTCAAAAATAGGACAAAAAAAAAAAAAAGAAGGCTGTTCACGAGGCTAGTCCTTGGCTGCCATTTGGGAACTTGGGTTTCAGGAAGGTTCCCATCATTTCCTAACGGATAGAAGGGCTCACTGTGCCTGGACTGTTTGTACAAACCATGTGGTTTATGCCAAACACCTGCTTTCCTTCTGGGAGTCTGGAATTTTGGTATGTGCCTATATAACTAGTCCCCAATTAAAAACTTCAGACTTCTAGGCTCGGGCAACAACATTGTACAAGTGTTGTCACGACTTGTTGCTGGAGGAATATGCTGTGTGACTCCACAGAGAGGGACTCTTGGAAGGTTGTGCCTGGTCTCCTCTGGACTTTGCCCCATGCACATTTTCCCTTGGCTAATTTTGCTTTGTCTGCTTTTGAGGTAATAAATCACAGCCATGAGGGTAAGTCTTGAAAGTCCTCCTGGTAAATTACCGAACCTGGGGGTAGTCTCGGAGACCCCAACACAAAATTCAACAGAATAGTGAAAACCATAAAGACAAGGGTTAGCAAAAATGTAACGTAAATGGAATTCTCATAGATTGTTAGAGAGTAAATTGGTACAACCAAATTGTAAAAAGGTTTGGCAATATTTCCTAAAGCTAAACATTCAAAGAACCTATGGCTTATTCTACTCCTAAGTATATATTCAACAGAACTGTATAGACCTATAACAAAACAGACATATACAAGAATATTGTTATAAATATTTACCACAATTAACTTGTAAAAAAAAAAAAAAGAATGTTTCTACAAATAGTAGCCTTATTCATTATAGCCAAACCTGGAAACCACCCCAAAGTCCAACAGCAACAGAATGGGTAGATAAATTGTGGTATACTCACACAGTGGAATACTATACAGAAATAAAATGGAATGAACTACTGATACACACAAGAACATGGATGAATCTTTCTTTTTTTTTTTTTTGCTGGCTGGTACAGGAATCGAACCCCCAAACTTGGAGTCTTGGTGTAGAACACGGATAAAGCTTACAAACAAAATTTTGAGCAAAAGAAGTCAAACACAAAAGAATACTGTATGGTTTCATTTATATAAAGTTCTAAAACAGGCCAACTAGGTAATGATGTTAGAAGTTGGAATGATTGTGATCTTGGGAGGTGCAGGAAGGCTGGGATTGGGATGCAGCATAAAGAAGGCTGGGGAGGGGCTGCTGCTGATCTACTTCTGGTCAGAGTGGTGGTTACATAAGTGTCCTCACCACTGAGCTGTAAGATATGTACTTCTCTACATGTATGTTACACTTTGTTAGTTTAAAAAATAAGAGAATAGGCCTATATGTCCATAGCCACATGCAGAATCAGCAGATTTCAAATCAACACATAGAATGAGTCTATTTTTATGTAAAAAATAAATTATACGAGTATACATATATATGTCTGTGTAGAAGAACTAGGTAATTACATGTGCAAAGACTAATTAATTCTACGGGATGAGTTGGAGGGAGGGAAGGAAACTTTCATGTTTCTAATTTACCTAATTTTTAAAGTAGTAGAATTATTTGTGGCTCTTACATTTTTTGTTAATCTTTCCAAAAATTAAAAAAATTGCAACAACAAAAAACTTCCTCAGCTATGATTCACCTGAAACCCTTACACATGATGGGCTGGTTCCTGTCTTCCCTCCAGCAGCCAGGACAGCTGCTTCCCATGTTGCATTTGTTACCAGAGAACATCAGTACTGGGATATGGGTGACATCAGCTCCCTCAGAGTCTCAACAAGTATAATTTACTTTCAATTGAGGCTTTAAAATCCCATTAAATGATAATGTCAAATATATACTTACTGGTATGTAATACATTTGTGATAAATGAAAAAAGCAAGTTATAAAACAGTATTACAGTGTGATCAAACTTCTATTGTAAAAAATTGTGTATATACTACCTATAAAAAATATTAATGGTAGCTACATCTCATTGGTGGGATTACTAGTGACCTTCATGTTATTTGTTTTATTTTTATTTTTTATTTTTTTTGTCCTTTTTTGAGACCGGCCGCACCGCGCTCAGCCAGTGAGCGCACCGGCCATCCCTATATAGGATCCGAACCCGTGGCGGGAGCGCTGCTGCGCTCCCAGCGCCGCACTCTCCCGAGTGCGCCTCCGGGTCGGCCCCTTTTAGCCCATTTTAATAGACGACAGCTTCCCTAGCTCCTTGACAGCATTCGCAGCAAAATCTGTGTGAGCATGAAGTTCAATGAACTAGAAAATCCAGCCATGTTAGAATTGTTAAATATCCAAGTTGCGTTTTCTCTCCTCTGGTAATGAGAAGAATCAAACAACCCAGAAAGCTGACAGTGGAAATTTTGTTAAAAAAATGAAATAAAACAAAAAACAAACCTCCATGTTTTGAGAGCAATGCAAAATCAGTTAACAGAGCTTCAATCCTGTATGAAAACTCTAAGTTCTTCTGAAATTCTCCATCGTCAAAAAAGATTTTTTTTATGAAATAAGACAAAATTTGTGATGCGTAGGAAGCCCATGGAATGAACTAGATTGGATTTATTAAGGCAAGAAAGATCGTGGTGCGCAGGTTGGAAGAAACTTACTGTACTTTATATACCAGAATACATTTTAGATGGATTAAAAAGTTGAACCGTTTTAAAAGTTTTTCAACCCCAAAGGGTGAGATGAAAAGGAACGTCCATTTACCATCTCGCAGCTGACTCAAGAAGTTCAATCATTCAGAAAACCTGGGCCTTTCAGGGACTGGGCTTTCACCGCATATGAGTGTAAGGTAAGGACTCCAGCACGACTAACCCCAAGCCCACCCTGCATAACTAACAGCCTGGGGCCAGCCGGGCACACTGGGGAGCAGCTCAGCCACCAAGACACGGCAGGACTGGGCGTGATGGGCGGCTGCGGCCCAGGCTTGCTGCGATCCTGGGGACCCGACCACTTGCTCCTGGCCAGGTTTCCGTCCTTACCCTGGGGACGGGCAGAGCCGGGGATCTATCCGTGGCCGCAGCTTTGCCAACTCTTCTGCAGAGTCTGTGGACCTCGGCGGCAAGACCGCTGAGCGGGCCGAGACCAGCGACGACTCCGACTCTCTTGACGCCATTGCCTCGGACTCTAGAGACTCTTCGGCCTCTTCTTCGGTGACCTCGTCAGGTAATTCCTCGCCTGGGACTTCTGTGCTAGGAGAGGGCTTCACGATCTGCCGGGGAAGACAGAAACACAACCGAGGCTGCCGTCTCACGGGCTCGCAGGCCTCTGTGTCTGCAGGGGTTTAAAGCTCGAGCTCGCTCGCCAGCGGCGGAGGCAGCAGGGCTTGCTTCTTCGGAAAGTTCAATGTTAAGCGTGAAAAGAGCAATAGCCCCTTGTGCGCGGGATTGCTCCCATTTCTCTTAGCCCGATGGTGACCTCCGGTTTTCTTCCGATGCGGAGGGAGATGGGAGAGGTTGTAGAAACTGCAGAACCCGGCTGGGAGCAATGGGCCTCGTCATGAAATTCTGGGTTGTCGCCTTGTTCGGCTCAGATTTCAAAGGGACAAGAGGACTGTGCTCAGCTCTAGCTGCAAGAGGGGCTGAGCTGAAGCCAGGCTTCTGCTCTGAACAGAGACATGAATCCGAAAGCTCCATGTGAAGGGTTTCCCTGGGCCCCGGGAAGCTGCTCTGCCTGCAAGAGGGACCCCGTAGCCCCGGCGCGGGGTCACCCCCGCCCCCCGTTTCCCCGGCCGGTGGAGGGCGCACCTCGGCCAGCACGCCCGCGTACTCGGCCCCCTCGCCTTCCTCCTTGTCCCCCTCGCCTTCCTCGTCTTCCACAAAGTCGTAGGTCACGTAATAGCTGTAGGTGATAAAAGGGCCTTCAGGCCCTGGTTCCGGATCCAAGACAGAGGTGTCCAGAACTCCTCTGACATTCCCAATAGTCACCACAAACTGCGCCTCGCGTGCCAAGAGATCTGCAAAGAGGAATGGGCAGACTGAGCGAGCTGCGGAGACGGAGGTCAGCAGACAGACTCCCCGGAGCCCCTCCACGCGGGGCTGGGCCTTAGAGCTTGGCAGGCTGCGGTTCAAATCCCAGCCTTGCCAAGTTCAATGGGAGTGATTTGGGGAAAGTCATTCCCCACTTGTGACATTATAGTTATATATTGGTTTTCATCCACGGTTTCTAGCTTATGCTACTCTCTGACCTTCTCCTGCCCTCCTCTCGCCCACTTCATTGTCTCCCTGAGGCAAGCCACAGAAACTAGAATCCCCCTTCTCCAAGGCAGGTCATAGTAACCAGCCCTGAAGCCAGCCATCAAGCCCTAGTCTTTCTGCCTTGGAGCTGGCCAAAAAGAAATTCTGATCCACCCAATCTGATTATAGGTCATGGGACCCCCATTCCAGAATGGGTCCTGCCCCAAGCCCAGGAGGAAGGAATGCTGCACAGAGAGGCCAAGAAGAACCTGAACAAACAGGCCTTGCTGGGTTTCCCCACCCAGGCTGTTAGTATTAGATCAGACTTTTTGGTCCAATCACATTCATACAAGTTGTCGGTGCTTCAATCATGCCTCTTCAATGAAGTCTCCATCAAGGACCCAAGAGTGCAGGGTTCAGGGAGCTTCTGGACAGCAGAACTCATCCACATGCTGGGAGGGTGGTGCATCCCAACTCCACCAGAATGGAAGCTCCTGCACTGTGGACCCTTCTAAACCTCACCCTATGTACCTATTCATCAGGCTTTTTCTTTGTGTCCTTTGTAATAAACCGGTAAATGTAAGTAAGTGTTTCCCTGATATCTATGACCTGCTTGAACAAACTAATCGAACCCAAGGAGGAGGTTGTGGGAACCCCAATTTATACCTGTTTTGTCATAAGTTCCAGAGATCTGGGTTTGTGACTGGCACCTGAAGTGGGGGCAGTCTTGGAGAATGAGCCCTCAACTGATGGGATCTGACACTATCTCCAGGTAGACAGTGTCAGAACTAAATTGGAGGACACACAGCTAGTATCCACTGAAGAGTTGCTGGTTTGCTTGCTAGTGGGGAGAAATCACCACACATTTGGTCACAGAAGTCAGTCTTTGTGTTGATTGTTACTGAGTAAGAGTATAGGAATGACACTTCCATGTGTTTTTCCCACTCTTACAATTGGTGTCAGAAGTGGGATTTGCTAGACCAGCCCTGGCTCATGGAAACGTGGTTTGAGAAGAGAAAGAATAAAAGAGTGGAGGATGAGGAACCTTTGATTTCTGTTTGGCCATGTGGTCACTGTGGTATGGAGCCACAGCTCTGCTGCCATCGTTACTAAAGGTAAAAATTAGCAGTGGAATTTAGAGATGGACCCCTAAATCCCAGGGAGTTGGTTTACTGGATGCATAAGGAAATGGAAACTAATAAGAAAAAAGCAAAATATCCAATGGTTATTGTTATCAGCAATAGCTAAAATGAAAGGAAAAGAGCAAGCTGTATCAGACCTTGATGCTAGACCAAACTCAGATTTCAGTGAGTCTGAACTTAGGCCACTAGCTTCAAAGCCTCCCCACAAGGGAAAACTTATGTAGAGACAACAGAAAGTATCTCTAAGACCCATCATTACCAAGAAGGTAGTCAATGTGGGGGAAGGGCAAAACCAAGTAACTACTGAAACCAGAGGGTACAGTGTGAAGGAATTGCTTCATTTTGTAGATCAGTAGCAACAGCTTCCTGGGGAATCTTTACCAAAATGGATTTTTTTTTTTTAAATTATAAGTTAGACTTTATTAAGCCTTTTTTAAAAAAATTTTTATTTTGTCGATATACAAGGAGGTTGATTATTGTGGCCCATTACCAAAACCCCCCTCCCTCCTCCCTCTCCCCCCTCCCACCCAACAATGTCCTTTCTGTTTGCTTGTCATATCAACTTCAAGGAGTTGTAGTTGTTAAGTCTTCTTCCCCCACCCCCAAACCCGGATTTTGTGTTTGTGTGTGTGTGTGTGTGTGTGTGTGTGTGTGTGTGTGTGTGAATTTATTTATTTAT